GGGTGGCACTGCCGGGCTTGGCCCCTGTAGGGCAGGTCCCTTCTGGTGTGCCCAGCGGCAGAACATCCCGTTGCTGTCCCAGGGGACCCCAAGGTGCCGGTGCTGTACGAGGTGGAACGGACCCGTACAGGGAAGAGCTTCTCCGTGCGCTCCGTAAAGGCCATCCAGCACGGAAAGCCGATCTTCACCTGCCAGGCCTCCTTCCAGCTCTCCCAGGGGAGCCCAGTGCAGCACCAGTTCACCATGCCGGCCGTGCCGCCCCCTGAGGAGCTGCTGACGCAGGAGGAACTCATCCAGAAGTTCCTGCAGTGAGTGGGGCGGAAGGGACATGCCAGGGAATCTCCTCTGTGGCTGGGGCAGAGGGAGGTGTGGGGGAGTACTGTCTGAGGAGCTCCCAAACATGTCTGGCAGGGAGTAGAGGGGCAGGACAGGACAATCGTGTTTCTCCTGTCTCTGTGTGCCCCTGGGTCCCTGGGCTGGAGCTGCTGCCAGCAGGATGTGCCCCTGCCTGCCTGGCATTAACCTCACTTCTCTGTGCTGGGCTGCAGGAATCCTAACTTGGCTGAGAGGTACAGGAAGCATCTCAACAAGATCCAGGCTGAAGACGTGCCGATAGATATTAAACCCGTGAACCCACCAGATGTATTCAGCTTGGAGCCACAGGAGCCAAAGCAGCTCTTCTGGGTGCGAGCACGAGGCTACATAGGTGGGTCCTGCTGGGAGGTGGTCCAGGTGCCTCCCAAGCCAAGGGCTTGGGCTCCAGCTCACACTGTTAGAGGGGGCTGTGATTTGGGGGCTGTGATTTCGGAGCTGCCTGCACCCCAGCCTGTGGGGAAGGCTGAGCATTTCAAGGCTGAAATAAAGGTGTGGGTGTGGACCATGAGGCAACACTGTGGGCCACGCTTGGGGGCACAGTGAGGGGAACAGGTCTGGAAGAATCTCAGCTGTGCTTGGCGTCTGGCTCCATGGGAGCAGTACTCTTGGGGCTCTGCCTTGTGCTGCACCCTAGGCATGTCCTACAGCCACCCTTGCTCTGCAGGGGACACTGACATGAAGGTGCACTGCTGTGTGGCTGCTTATATCTCCGACTATGCCTTCCTGGGCACGGCCCTGCTCCCACACCGGCAGTACCACATCAAGTTCATGGTGTCCCTCGACCATTCCATGTGGTTCCACGCGCCCTTCCGAGCGGATCACTGGATGCTGTATGAATGCGAGAGCCCCTGGTCAGGTGAGTCCTCACTGTGTTCCCTGGGGTCCTGCATGGCCAAGGTCAGCCCTGCTGGTCCTGGGGGCAGCAGGCTGAGCTCTGACAGCCCCTCTCTGCAGGTGGGTGCCGGGGCCTGGTGCAGGGACGGCTGTGGCGCAGGGATGGGGTCCTGGCTGTCACCTGTGCGCAGGAAGGAGTCATCAGGGTGGCAGAGACACCAAAGCAGAGCAAACTGTAGCTGAGAAGCCCCCATGGGCTGAGGCTCAGACATACCAAGGGTGGGACCCTGGGATCAAGATGGGACCTGGGTCGCAGTGGGAACGAGCCTTGAAGGAGACTGGGCTGGATCCAGCACTGTAGGAAGTCCTGGTGCCAGAGGTGTCTGCGATGGATGGCGATCCACAGAGCACTGCTGTGACCTATCGCCAGCTGCACAGCATGTAACTGCATGCTGCCATCTACCTTTCACCCACCTTAAAATAAATGCGCTGGGTGAAGAGCTAGACTCTGTCCCTGGAGTTTGTCCCCTTGGCTCCATGACTCTGCTGGCTGGAGGGCGGGCAGTGCCAGGGGCACGGGGACCTGGCTCTGCCCCTGCTGCAGGCTGGGTCACAGAAGGGGAAGGTGCTACTCTGGCACACGTTGCTTCCCTTTCTCAGTTCTCCTGTCCTGCTTGTACCCCAGTACCTCACTCGCTGCTTCTGCTTGCCCTTGGGCTCCTCCCCAGGGCTGGGCTCGGGCTCGGGCCCAGCTGGAAGCTGGGAAAAGGAGATGAGGCAGCTCCCACCTCCATATGGAGGCTTGAGGCCTCCCACTGATGGTGCCTCGGGGGAGTGGGGCAGAACAGACACAGCAGGCGCCTTGCTCTTCTTCCTGCCAAGACTTTATTTAATAAAGTCCTTTTCATTATGTAAGTTTTATGGGAAGTTCCCGGCAAGAGCTCCAGATCCTGCCAGAAGCCTTCCCATTCCCTTGTGCGGTGCCAGTATGTCCCAGCTAAAGTCCAATCTACTCCAGAATCCCCAGCAGAGGGGGAGCGGCTTCCTGCAGCACCGGTGCAGGTGGTAGAGCCCTGTGTGCCCCATGAGCATCTAGCCCCACAGGACAGACTAACCACAGAGAAAGTGCATTCAGAGGCAGCTCTGGGCACGGGCTGTGCTGCCCGTGGGAGTGTGGCACGGCCTCCCTGCCCTATCCCACAGCATCACCCT